AGTTGCAAATCAGCGTGACCCCCCGGGCAGAGGGCAAGCATGGAGGGGAACCTTTGTGCTCATCTGAGGGGCGGTCAGGGCTTCGCTTCCCCAGTTGGCCCTCAGGGGGTCACTATGATCAAGTCAGCGCCCAGGGCCCTTCTTGGAGCATCTTTTTATTTTAATATTATTTGTTGATTTGAGAGAGAGAGAAACATCGATTTGTTGCACTTATTTATGCATTCATAGGTTGCTTCTTGTATGTGTCCTGACCGGAGATTGAACCCGCAGGCATATCAGGATGAGGCTCTAATCAACTGAGCTACCCAGCCAGCCCAGAGTGTCTTCCAGAAGAGGAAAATGTGGCCCCTTGGCCTAGTGGCCTCCTGCCCCAGACTGTCTCCCCACAGTGATTCCTCCCCTCCCCCCGCCCCCAGTCTAATAATAGGAACGGCCGACTTGAACCAGGCCTTCCCTGCTCCCTGGAAAGCACTGTGATTGGCTGATAGCAATCGTTTATAAAATACAGTCACCGTCTCAGCCTGCCCCTGCCCTCGTCTTGCATCACCACACATGGGAGGAAGTCCTGTGACCGGGGACGCGTTGGGGCTCAGCCACACGCCATGGGCCCAGGGCCTGGATTCAAAGGACCCCTCACACTCGAATACAGTCCTGTACAGTTTACAAAAGGCTTTCCCCTGCCTCATCCCAATTCACCGTTTGAGGCGGATGAGGAGACAGAGAGGGGATGTCACACACCTAGAAAGCACAGCGCCAGAACCCAACCCCCTTCTTTCTTCACCTCAGCTCACAAGCAAGTGCTCAATTGCCCACTCTGTGCCCAGTGCTGGGTGGTAGAGGCCTGGGATGGGTGTGGTCGAGGCCCTGCTCCTGGCCTCAGCCCGTGCCATCCAGCCCTCCATCAGCAGAGGGTCCTGACCAGATCCAGATCAAATCCCACCCTGCCTGACCTGCCCAGAGCCTACAGCAATAGTTCCCGCTGCCTAGATGATCAACCCGGTCCTCGGCCTGATGTGCTGAGACCCAGTGCAAAATCATCTGTCTGCCTCCCCCTCTCTAATTCCCTCTTCATCACTTCACACTCTCTTTGTTTTGGCCAAATAGACCCAATTCTTCCCTCCTGAAAACTGCTGACATATGGCAAGCACACCCTATTTCCTGTCCACCGGGACTATATGAAGCTACCAGAACGCGCCCTGTGCACACTCAGTGTGGCCCCTCCAGGCCTTTGCCCGGGGTTTCACGTTCCCCCATCCATCCACATGCACTTCAATGCCCGGTTCAAGTTCTACCCTCCACAAAGTCACCCAATAGAAGTGACCACTACCCGATAGCAGAGCTGAAGCAGGTCACTCTACCTGGCATCAGAGTTGCAGGCCTGTCTCTTATTCTTTCCACCAGATGGTGAGTTTCTGGGGTGGTGTAGGGGCGTGCAATGAAGGATGTGACTCCTCTCCAAGACCCTAGTACCGAGCACAGCGTCCCACAGAACACAAGAACTGCTACTGATGACGGTCCGAATGAATGAAGGAGCAAAAGGACAAATGAAAGAAGAGGACGAAGAGTGGCCTGTGGCAGGCCGTTGGGGTGTCCATCATGCTCAGAGTGTCCTGGACAGCGGGCTCCCCGCTCTGTGGTATAGACCACCTGTGCATCATTCTTTTGCCTGAGAAAAGCCTCTGAACGCTTGGCCAACACCTGGAGAATTCCCCACCTTATGAGTTTCCATCTTCCCTCACGGAAGCCACTCATCCACCTTCTGGCCTCGCTTGCAGCTAGGGTTTAATCATTGTCCTGGCCTCCACCAGTCACACCCCCAGCCAGACTCAGGATGGGGAGGGGTGGCCCAGGAAACAGATGCCACGTGGAACTCATTCTGATTGGCAGGGGTCAGCTCCCATGTCCAGTTTCCAGGGCAGTGCCATGACTAGTGTGGGAGGGCATGGGGGCCAGCCGGTCTGCCCACACAGCAGTCCTGTAGGGAGATCTGGGCCCGCTCCTGGTTCTGGTATTCTAGCTTTCCTGGAAATTTCGTGCTATGGCGTATCCTTGGATAAATTTCTTATCTGTCTAACCCGGCCAGAGATGGCTTGTGTGTCTGAAATTCCAGACCCTGGCGTGTTCGCCTCACAATGAGGAAAGTGCCCAGGAAGCCTCCGCTGAGCCCGGCTTAGACAAGCATCTGTGCATGGAAAGATGGCCAGCCAGGCCCTGTGCGGGGCCTTGTGCGGGGAAGGAGGCTGAGAGAGGGACAGAGGTGCACCAGGTCAGGCCCTCCCTGGCCTAGAGGTGCCTACCCACCAAAGTGGCCAGGACAGGTTGTGAGAGGTGTTGCCAGAGGTCCTGACGTTGCCCCTTCATCCCTGCTCTTGTTTCTGCCCATCAATCCTCTCAACCTCTGCTAACTCCTTCTCATTATCTTTTAATACTCAGCTTCTCATCATCTCCTTCAGGAAGCTTCCAGCTCCACCTCTTCTGGGCTAGGTGCCTCCTCGATGGTCCCAGAGCCCCCAGCCAAACCTGCCAGTGCCCTTCCACACTGTATAACTGTCCATTGCCATGTCCATCTGTGTTCTTACAGGATGGTGACCCCCAGAGGGCAGGGGTCATGTCTGGTCTATTCTGGGAAGTCCACACCAAGGGCAGTCCTGGCACATAGGAGATGCTCAGGGAATGTTTGCTGAGTGACAGAATGAGTGACTGTGTGAGTGACTGAGTCAGTGAGTGAACATGCTCACCTGTAGAGAAGTGGGAGGACTCTGGGCTCAGTAAGACTGGAAGAGAGGCAGCTTCCCAGGGGGCCCTGGGGTTTGGTGGGTGCACTTATCCCTACTTGACCCCCCAGGCCAGTGATAATCTGCTTGGCTTGTGTCTGTGTAGAGGAAATATGCTGCCTGGCCATTGCCTGCTACTCAAGCTACCATGCACTTCTTAGCAAATCCAATGGAAACATATTTTCCAACCCCCCTTATCCCACATTTCTTGTACCTTATAAATTTAAACCTCTCCATTTGTTTGCTTGGGACCCTTGTCAAGCAGATGTCAGGGAAGGAGGCAGCAATAGCAGTTTCCTAGACAGCTGTGAGTAGAAGTCAACCCTTTGGAATAGTTCTTCCTCCTCCAACGTGGGCAAGTGGGGGAAGTTCCCAAGGGGCTCCTCGGGAGGCATCAGGCCACTCCGCCCACCAGCCCTGCTGCCACGGTCAGCACAAGGGTTCAAGTTCAAGGGGACTGACGCCCTGCTGTTGCAGGCTGGGATCAGCGGGGTCATGCTGACATTGCAAGGCTGCACCGGGATGACTCACAGCCCAGCCCAGCCCAGCCTGTGGATGGTGGAAGACTATGAACCCCTTTCAAGACTGGTCACATCTCACAGCTGCTCGTGACCTGAAACCCTGCCTCCTCTGCATTTCAGTTTGGGGACAGTCTCAGCTTCTTGCTCAAGATGTCTTAGTCCTCTGCCACAGCCATGCCGGTGTGTAAATCCTTTTCCCCCACTTCCACCAGGCACTTGTTTGGGTAGAGGTTTACTGGCAGTTGGAGAGACAGAGAGATCTCATTTGCAATTATCAGAATCTTTCTCCCTCCTTGTCTCTCTGCTGTCTCTGCCCTGGCACCTCCCTCCTTCATCCTTCAAATCATGTCTACTGTCTACTGTCAAAGTAGAGCTGTCCAGCCCCTGTTCTCTCCCATAGAAAGGCCAATCAATTTTCCAAAACAGGAACAACTCGTTTCTCAGGGGAATTTGGTGCCGGTTCCTAAAACAATGGATTTTTATCCCACTGCACTGGCACTGGACTGACCCTCTTAACAGACACAGTTCCTGGCACCTGCTGCATCCCTGGGACCCAGAACTGAGTGGAGCAGAGATCCAGACCTCACGGAGTCCAGGCGGCAGGGAGGGAAGCCGTAAGAAGACCCCGGAAGGGTAGGCAGGAGATGCTGGGAGGGGCAAGCACAACACAGACTCAGAGAGGACACATAAGGGGCAGCTCCTTCTACCAGGAGGTGCCAGAAACAGCTTCACTGAAGAACTGATGGGAACGACAGCCTTAAAGGAGTTTCATCAGGAGAGGAGGAGCTGGAACAGAATCGCCATCAATACCTCTCTGAGATGCACTGCTCAGGCTGGGCTATAATCGTCAGTTCTTGTGTCTGCCTCCTCCATCAGATGGGAGCTCCTGGAATCTTCCTTCCAAAGCCAAGTTCAATCAACCTCAGCCTGGGAGGAAGAAAGGGAGGAAGACAAGTAGGGGCGGGAGTGCTGGCAGCAGCAAAGAATCCCTGGGCACCCAAAGCCACAGGACCCCTGACACTGTGGCGGAGACAAGAGGTAGAATTGGTTGGATTTGCATCCTACACACGGCAGTGGACACGATCACTTCAAACTGAAAGTGAGCAGGACAGGGCGTCGCGGGTCCTTGGGCCACTCTTATGAGTGGCCTTTCCATCAAGCACTTGTGAGCCACCAATAATCCCATCCCAGCCCTCTGCTCTGACAAGAGCCATGAGCTCACATCTGCCCAGCACTCCAGTTAGAAAGATGTTTTAAAGCCCATGAGCTCAGTGGAATCAAGGTGTGGACCCTACAGTCCATCTATGACTCCACATAACTGAGGGAGGAGAGGAACAGGAAACACTGTGTGCTGTGCGGGATTATTAGTCAGTAGGTTCTCCGGTCCCCTCACCTCCCTGTTCCTGGAACTTCCAGAGAGAGTGGGCAGCTGGCAGGGTGACAGTCCATTACGGGCTGCCTTGCATTGTTCTCTAATTACTGTTTCAGGCTGGGGAGGCTCCTCACCTGCACTGGATCCTGGAGCGCAAAGGGTGTGCCTCCTGCATCTTCTCTGTGCCCACCAGCCCCCTGCAGCGCCAGCCCCGACTCAGGTCCATGCACACCCTCTGATTCCTCGGCTGATTCCTCTACACGTTGGCTCCACATTGTTATCATTTGGGAGGTTGACCAAGTACTGATGCCCAAGCCCCTTCAAGGAGACTGACTTAACTGGTGTGAAGTGGTGCCTGGGCACCAGTATTAGTTTGATGTGCAATGAGGGCTGGGAGCCTCTGCTGTTGCATCTCCTGCAACAAATGCAGCAAATGCCACTGGGAAGTGTGTACCTGGAAGGCTGGCTCTTGATACTAAGTTTCATCCCTTTTCATATCTCACCCACATCAATGGTTTCAACCCTCCCCCCGCCCCCTCCCCCCACACACACACACACTATATCAGATGACTCCTAAACCTCAGTGTCCAGCCGGAGAGTTTAGGCTCCAAAATACAACCCCACAGGGACAGAGCTCCGTCAGTACTAGGACCTGGGTGAATAGCACCACCACCACCGTGATGAACAGCTGCATCCTTTAGGCCAGTGGTCGGCAAACTGCGGCTCGCGAGCCACATGTGGCTCTTTGGCCCCTTGAGTGTGGCCACGAAGTTTCAATCGCACTGTACGTGCGCACCCACACGTGGTATTTTGTGGAAGAGCCACACTCAAGGGGCCGCAGTTTGCTGACCACTGCTTTAGGCTATCAGTGATGGGAAGCCAACGTGAACTAGTGTGGCAATGGCAGGCCTTGTGGCAGTTTCTGTAGCGATGGGTCTAAGGCTCATTAGCACCACCAAGGACCACAGCTCTTCATGCTGAAATATCCGGGGGGGAAACCCTATTGACCTAGTCAAGTGCCTACCCTACACCAATTAGCTGAGACCTAGGACAGAGGTAGCATAGCACAAACAGGGCTGCTAGAGACAGGGGAATGCCAGATAGATGGTGGAGTGAAGACAGATCTCAACAACCTCTTCCCCCAAACACTAAGCATTTACAGTGTTAGATGAATAACGACAATAATAACAAAATCCAGAGACGGCGTTCTTGCTAACTGGTGTATTAGTGAGGAACCTGGTAAGAAACAGATCTGGCACTCAAAAGTGGTAATTGAAGAAATTTAATAAGGAGACTAATTACAAAGGGGAGAGCTAAGAGAATCAACAAGGGATGGTGAGGCCCCCAAGGATTAGCTGTTACACCCCCCTCTCCGGGCATGAAAGGGCACGGGGAGGCCAGCAAGAGCAGCAGCACAGGAGAGGGCTGCCCAACTAACCACTGTCTTAGTTGAACAAATGCAGCCACTGCCAAACTTGGAAGAGTAGGCATTGGGGGGGAGATCGAACCTCTCTCTCTCGGCCTGTTTTCTGATCTCCTGCTGGCCTCTCATTGGCTGAACGTAACTGGAAGCCAGTGAGAGCATAAGGGATGCAACCCATAGTGGTCAGCCTTCCAGGCAGAGAGCAGGTGGAGAGGCATGGAGAATGCATCTGAAGGGACAAATGTGAAGCATCCGCACATTGGGCGGTCACCCAAATGGAATCTATCTCTGGCCTCCAGTTTCCCAGAGGCAGTAACTGTAAAGTCACTCCTGCTCCCTGCATTGTTCTTCTACCACGCTCCATCACTAAGTCCTACTGAGGTCACCTCCCAAACATTTCTGGAGTCTGCTCCTCCCTCTGTCTTTATTCCTTCTCCCTTGGACTTTGCAAATTATTTCTCAACTGGCTTCCTTCTCTATGTCCAACCAAACCCACCCACCAAGATGCGGTTGACTTGGCCATGGCCTTTCTTAGCTAAAATCCTTCCGGGGCCCCCACTGCCTTCAGGATAATGGGCAGCCTCACCCTCTGCTACAGAGCTACCCACCTGCGCGAAGTGGGTTGGAGGAAGATCATCAAGGTTAGTGGCAATCTGGCTAAGGAATTGGGTCTCCTTCCTTAGGCAAATGGGAAACGAAAGAAGTTTTGATAGCAGGATTTTGTTGTTGTTGTTCTTGTTGTCAATTTTCATTTTGAAAAAATGTCAGACTTCCCAAAAAGTTGCAAAAATGGTACAAAGAATTCCCATATACTCTTTGTCCAGATTATCTAAATGTTAATATCTTACACAGTACAACGATCAAACTCAGGGGATAGTGTTACCTAACTTATAAACCTTACTTGAATTTCCCAGGTAGTCCCACTGATGTCTTTTTTTCTGATCCAGAATTCAATCTAGGATCGCCTTGCTTTTAGTCTTCATGAGTCTTTCGTCTCCTTTAACCTGGAACAGTTCCTAGTCTTTGTCTTTCACGTCCTTGACACTTGTAAACAATACTAGTCAGTTGTTTTCCAGAATGCCCCCCCACTTACTGGTAGCTCTGTCTGATGTTTCCTCATTAATAAATTCAGAGTATTCACTTTTGGTAAGAAAACCACAAAAGTTCCGTTATCTCTTTCTCAGCACCTCGTACCAGGAGGCTCATATGTCAGTTTTCCTTGATATTGTTGATAATAATTTTGACTATTTGATTGAGACTTTGCCTGCCAAGTTTCTGCAGTGTAAAGTTGCTATTTTCCCCTTTGTTATTAATAAGTCTTGTGGGGGGAATCTATATTCTTTTTGCCCACCAATTTTAACATCCTTTAATGATTCTCACCTGAAACAATTCTTATTATGGAATTTGCCAAATGGTGTTTTATAAGTCCATCATTTCTTCTATATTTATTAGTTGGAATTCCACTGTAAAGAGAAAAAAAAAAAGGCAAGATATCCACCAAACAAAAGATGATTTCCAGGGATCAAAACAGCTTGCTCAATATATTGCACGTCATATGCCTGATAAGGGACTTGTATCTAGAATATATAAAGGACCCTTACAATTCAATAATAAAAGGCAAATAACCCAATTTAAAAATGAGCAAAGGATCTAAAGAGACATTTCTCAAAAAAAAAAAAATTTACAAGTGACAAGCACATGAAAAGATGTTCAACATAATTAGGCATTAGAGAAATGAAAACCAGTGAGATGCTACTTGGCACCCAACTGGATAGCGATAATAAAAAAACACACATATAATAAGAAGTGTTGGTGGGTAGGCAGTAACGGGTAAAGAGGTCAGCTATATGGTGACAGAAGGAGATTGGACTTTGGGTGGTGAACACACAATGCAATATACAGATGATGTATCATAGAATTGCCTTGAAAACTGTAGAATTCTATTAACCATTATCATCCCAATAAATGTTTTTTTAAAAAAAGTGTTGGTGAGGATGTGGAGAAATTGGAACCCTCATATGCTGCTGGTAGGAATGTAAATGATGAAGTCGCTTTGGAAAACTGCCTTTCCTCAAAAGGTTTAATATAGAGTTCCCATATGACCCAGAAACTCTCCTCCTCAGTATGTACCCAAGGGGAATGAAAGCACACGTCCACACGGAAACATGTACACAAATGGTGCTAGCAGCATTATTCATGACAAAAAGTGAAAACAATCCAATGTCCATCAAGTGATAAATGGGTAGATAAGATGTGGCCTATCCATGCAATGGAATAATATTCTGCAATATAAAGAAATGACGTACCAGCACATGCAATAACGTAGGTGAACCGTGAAAGCCTTGTGTTCAGTGAAAGGAGCCAGTCACAGAGGACCACATGTTGAATGACCCCATTTATGAAATGTCCAGAATAAGCAAATTTATAGAGATAAGTAGATTAGTGGGGGAGAGAATGGGGAGCGATGCTAATGGGGATGGGGTTTCTTTTGGGGGGGGTGATGAAATGTTTTAAAATTGTGGTAATAGTTGCACAACTCTGTGAATATACTGAAAGCCATGAAATTGTACACTTATATGGGTGGTATCTGAGTTATATCTCAAAAATGCTGTTATTCTTTAAAAAACCACACACACACACACACACACACACACACACACACACACACACACACACCAGTAACAACCCTCCCATATCCACACCCATCCTGAGTTCCTGCCTCTGGCTCTTCCCATGCTAAGGTGCTTGCACCCAACAAATTACACAGAAAAACAGCATTCTTGCAAGCCAGGCAAACCCAGAGCCAACCTGACAGAGTTGCCTGTGATTAAGATGGGGAGATCTGTGGCTGCATTATGACCTGTGATCTCTTGACTCCCCAGTGAAATATACTGAGCCAGACTGTGGTTTTGTGTTTTGAAGTCCTAGGTCGTGAATCAACATAATCTACTTATCAAGACCAAAGGCTGTGGTCACTGCATGTAAAAGGAACAAGTCACATTTCTTGGCGCCTTCATGCCAGAGGGCTGGGCTGCACCCTGATGCCCATTGGGAGCTATGCCCATGGATCCTGCTGGACTGACCACACGCCACCCCAGTGATACCTTTCCCACAGCTCTTATGTGCTGCTTGGAGCCTGGCAGTCTGACTTCCCACTTGCCCGATCAGTGGCTCCTAGTAGGTTAGCCAGACCCCGCCTGGCCCATGCTGGATCCTCTGGCTCCGGCTTTTTTGTTCTCATTTACATCATGCTGTAAAACATGAATCCAATGGGGGGAGAGGGAAGCAGAGTACAAGGGGTTAAAAAGTACAAATTCCCAACTATAAAATAAGTCCTAGGGATGTGATATACAACATGGTGACTATCTTATATAATAAAAGGCTAATATATGCAAATCAACCAAACGGCAGACCTCTGGCCACTGTGATGCACACTGACCTCCAGGGGGCAGACGCTCAATGCAGGAGCTGCCCCCTGGTGGTCAGTGCACTCCCACAGAAGCCAGGCTCAGGGCTGGCGAGTGCAGCGGCGGTGGCAGGAGCCTCTCCTGCCTCTGCGGCAGTGCTAAAGCCATCAGTCGGACATTCCCCAAAGGCTCCTGGGCTGTGAAAGGGCGCAGGCCGGGCTGAGGGACAACCCCCACTCAAAGTGCACAAATTTTGTGCACCGGGCCTCTAGTTGTTAATAATACTGTATTGTAAGTTTAAAAGATGCTAAAAGAGTAGATCTTAAAAGTTTTCATCACAAGAAAAAAAATTTGTAACTATGTGTGGTAGCGGAAGTTACCTAGACTTATTATGGTGACCATTTTACAATATATACAAATATTGAATCATGTTGTACATATAGACATAATATGTCAATTATATCTAAAAAACATACACACACACAAAGAAAAACCATACAACTCCAATCAGGGGGGCCTTCCTTTGTTTTTACAGCTCCTAAGCCTGGCCCTGCCCTCACCAAGCCTTTGTCAGCTCAGGTCACCATGGCGCCCTCACTCCCAACCACACTGGCCTTATTTCCACTCCGTTGCCTCTCAGCTCCAGGCCTCTGACCAACCTCCCTGTTTTTCTTGTACCTAGTTAATTACCTCACTGTGTCTTAAGATCTCTGCTGAAACCCATCCTTCAAGGAAGCCTTCCCTGATGCCCAGGACTCTTGCATGTCTCTTTCCAGCACTGGTCAGCGTGTCAACGTTGGTGAGGTCACTGCATTAATGTCTGCCTCCCCCTCAGGTCATGCACCCCCTGAGGGCAGGGGCCTGTCTGCTTCACTTATACTGATACCTCCCAGAGCTGGCCCAGAGCCTGATACACAGCAGACAATGAAAAAACTTTGTAGATAGCATGAAAGAATGTTGCTCTGAAGTCTCACTAGAGCCCATTCCTGTGATCAGCTTCCTGAATCATCCCATCTTCCCCAACATATATCTGAGCATGGCCTCTTCTGCCTAGAACCCTCCAAGAACTTCCCTTGTGGTTATAATAAAATCCAAACTCTGGCAGGGCCTGGTCCCCGCACCTCCCTCTCCTGTCAGCCTGGGAAGTGCCTGGAGGGTTATAAGCAGAGAAAGGCCTTGCCTTCTGAGCTGCCACTCCGACCTCTTGGTGTCCCCAGGCCTCTGTGAGTTCATTTCCATGTCAACCTTGTGCAGTTGAGATGGAAATCACTCAGAAAGGAGGACCCACACTAAGCACAAGTTGAAGAGTCACCTGTAGCTGCACAGGGACCTGCACCCCCGTGACACTGCAAGAGGCGGAGAGTGGGTACCTGCTATCACAGTGCTCAGTGTCTTATCACTGAGGCCATAGGAGATGCTGTTGATGGGGGGTGGGGGGTGGGGTGGCGCGGGCAGGAAGAGCCTCTGAACATGCTTCCTGGCTGTTCCCTCTGCTTGGCCCTCTCCTCGCCCTCAACCACACATATCTCACCCTTGTATCAGGGAGGCTGAGTTCTCTGCTTTTTTTAGATAAGTAAACTGGGGCACAGTGATAGCCCTTGGAGAGCAGCTGGTCAGACTCCAGGGAGGGTCAGTGCAGTTTGCCCAACGGCCCCCACCAGGGCCTGCCTCTGTCTCTGTCCCCGACCTCCAACAACAGAGAGGGGATGAATGACGGCAGGGAGAAGAGGCAGGATCGGGGTCCTGTTCTCAGAAAGGACCAAACAAAGTCCTGCTTAACAACTAGTCAGTCGGGCAGTGGAAATCCCTGTGTATCGTAACATTTCAACAGAAACGCCAGGGAAGGAAACTTTGGCCAAGTGGGCAGAGAAACCTTGGCCAGGAAAACAGCCTCTCTGTTCCACTTTCTGCAGGGGGTTTCAAGAGAGGTTTGGCTGCTCACATCCATCCCTTGTTAAGGACCTGCCCCAACCCAAGCATTAGCATCCGAATCATGATTCATTTTGTCCTTCCAGAACCCCTTGGGGGAGGGTGAATTATGCCCATTTTACAGGTGATGGTACTGAGTCTCAGAGAAAGGCAGTAACAGTGTAAGGAAGCCAGGTTCTCTGCCTTCTGGGAAACTAAACCTTGATCTCCCTACCCACCTCCTCTCTCCCCTCTGGCTCCCAGCACAGGCCCCCAAGTCTTCCCTGCCTCGCCCACCTGCCTACAGGCCTGTGGCTGGCCACTGCAGGAGGAATTCCAGGCCGCGTCCCTGAATATTTTGTGAGAAGAGAGCTGCCAGAACTTCGGGCCCAACATGAAGGACATTAGTAGGTGTTAGAAAAAATATTCAAGTGTGAAATGAATTCCTGCAACCTCCCGGGCATACTGAGAACCTTCATTTCGCCATCTGACAATCCCACAGCTAATAACTCAAACAGGGAGGCCAGGGCTGGAATGACCAGAGCAGAGATGGGGCCAGATCCACATAGAGCCGCCGAAGGGCCAGAGGGACTTCGCTGGCTGCCGTCCTCTCCTCTTTATCTCCAGCTCCCTGAGCTTTCTGAGTTGGAGGCCTTGCTCTCCCAGGTAAACCTAGAATCTGGACAGACAGGGGTAGGGGCCCCCATCACGATAGAGTGTCAGGGCCTCTAGACGGAGAGATTAGCTTTAGGGTCCCCAAGAGGGCATGCCTTCCCCCAACACACACACACACACACACACACACACACACACACACACTCACACACTCACACACACACACACACACACAGCCTCCGCCTGCGACCTTAGTTCTCCAGGTTCATATTCCTAGCTGACTGAGCCCCACCCTGTCCCTTTTCAATACAAACCCCTCTGGTGGGGGTGGGAGGGTGGCTGGGAGAGATTAACCTATGCATATATGCATAGCCCATGGACACAGACAATAGTATAGTGAAGGCCTGGGAGGGGCCGGATGGGGTGGAGGAGGCAAATGGGGGAGGAGGGAAGGGGGGGGACATCTGTAATACTTTCAACAATAAAGATAAATTTAAAAAATATTAATCCCCTCTACGTCCATGAAGCAGGGATTTCAGCCCATGGAGCAGAAGAGACTTGTCTAGAAACTTACTTTGAGTTCCCTCCCTCTCTGAGCCCTGGCGTGCTGGGTCTATGCCTCAAGGGTACATTTACAATCTGACTACTTATGTGGGCACATGGATTCCATCCTACTGTCCTAACCAGAACCCAAGCTCTGGGAAGGCCTGGGGTCTGATCTAATTCTTGCATGCTAGACTGCTAGCTGGGGGCCAGGCTGCAGAAGGAAAGAAGAAGGTGAGAAAGGAGGAAAAGCAGAAGATGAAACAAGACAGGTGGCATCATGCAGGACCTGGGCTTCTATTCTGATAGGGCCACTCCAACAATGGAAACCATCCACTCAGCAAATACTTATTGAGCATCTACCACAAGCTCAGAGTTCTTATGGGCGCTGAAGCGACAGCAGGGGACAATGCAAAGTCCCTGTTCTCGTGCTGCTTGTATTCCAGTAGAACTTCCCACGCAGGCAGTAGTTAAAACTCTAGGTGCAAATGACAGAAACCGGAATAACCTTAAGCAAAAATGGGGACTCCATTGATTTCATTGACCCAAATGTAGTCAGGCGGGGAGGTGCTGGCCCATGGAGGCAGGGCTCTGCATGATTCAGGCTCTGCCTCTTGTCTCTGCCTCTTTCAGGGGGCCAGCCTGATCCACTCTCACTGCAGATCCCCTAGCTCCATGAGGCAGGGGACGTGGGCACTGGCAGCCTCAGACTCACTTCTGCAAGCTCTATGACCAGAACACAAGAGGGGTTTTGCTCTCTCCACTCTAGGTTTTGATATCCCAGGAAAGAGTTGTGATCGGTCCAGACAGTATCATGTGACCAATCATGATGGCCAGAAGAACTGGGTCTGTTAGAAGAAGCAAAAAAAGGGTGCAGAGCAGACAGACAACACATGTCCATTACCCATGAATATTATTGAGTGTGTTCCTCATACATCTTTTAGTCCATTTTGACTGCTATAACAAAAATACTACAGATTGAATGGCTTATAAATAACAGAAATTAATTTATCACAGTCTGCAAGCTGGGAAGTCCAAGATCAAGGCACCACAGAGTCAGTGTTTGGTGAGAACCCACTTCATGGTTCATGCACAGCCCTTATATGGTAGGAGAGGTAAGGGAGCTCTCTCAGGTCTCTTTTATAAGGGCACTAATCCCATTCATGAGGGCTCCATCCTCATGACCTAATCACCCCAAAGGCTCCACCTCCAAAAATCACATTGGGGGTTAGGATGCAACATATTAATTGGGGGTGGGCAACACAAACTTTCAGACCACAGCAGAAAGGAAGGAAACAGAGTAAGTACTGGGGCCTCCATTTTCTGGCTGATAAACTGAGGCCTTGAGAGCTCTTCCCATCATAACACTGCGAAGTGGAGCCTGTGCCTGTTCAGACCCAGCCCCCTCCTGGCCAGGTCACCAAAGGGAAACTCAGTTGGGACTTAATTCCTTGTGCAATTACAGTGAGAGAAGAAAAAACAGATTTCAAATATGTGTTGATAAAATTCACCAAGATCAAAATGGCATTTCCAGCACAGAGCTCAGCACAAATACAGAGAGAGGAAGGAAGCCTCATTCAGATCAGCATCTCACAGCCCACGCGGAAGGGGTTTTAGGAATAATATCATGGGTAGAATAATACATTTAGGGCTAATACTATTCTATGTTATGTAATAGATAATACTATTGTATACTGTATATAATAATATATGTGGGTGGTCAAGAAGTCCATGCAAACCTGGAAATAGGATAATAACAGC